GCCTTGTAAAGACCCCCCCCCAAAAAAAAAACAAAAAAACAAAACAAAAACAGTATGATTCGGTCAAACTTAGATGATATCTATCTATCTATCTATCTATCTATCTATCTATCTATCTATCTATCTGTATAGATTAGGATAAATCAAACGACCAGATATAAGCAGCCGTATACACGAAAAACCAGCAAAACTTATGTCGCACACCTAAACGTAGATATTTTTATATGTATTTTTATATCTATCTATCTATCTATCTATCTATCTATCTATCTATCTATCTATCTATCTATCTATCTCAGTCATGTTCATATCTATCTATCTATCTATCTATCTATCTATCTATCTATCTATCTATCTATCTATCTCTATCTATCTGTGAACAGACTGATATCAATAGGCAGACGACTGATAGATATAAATAGTGTGTACATAGAAACTAACAATGCATAGTGTCTGGCAGTGTCAGGCATTATCACTGACAGTCACCATGCAATGTTCATTTCTCTGTACACACCGTTTATATCTAGGAACACCCGATCCCCGATACTGATTAGCCTTCCTCTATAAATTTAGGAAATTTTAAACAAACACTATTATATATATATATATATAAAATTGTTTTTCAAAAAATATATAATCATCATAACACCGGAATTCCCATGTTTCAAAATTAAGGTTTGTATCAACAGACAGATACCCCCAGCTCCAACCTTGACTATACCGACTTGATAACTACAATACATTAAATGAGCTTTCTAAATAAGTCAAATCTTAACACCCTTAAAATAAAAAAGATGGAATTTTCCTTAACACCATCATCTCAAAATATCAAATTTGTCTGAACTTATAAATTAAGTAAATCAATTTTTAAACAGTTATTTTTAGCATCTCTTGATAATGGAACGGAACTTTGTATTTTAAGTATAATTTTTATGACTGAATTTGAATTGAAGTTTCAGTTTTGAAACATGGGAAATCCGGTGTTGCAATGATTCTATATTAAAAAAAAAAACAACAATTATAATATTATGCTCTACTGTTGTATAGAGAACTGTTTTTTTAAAATAAAAATAAATGCTAAGAACTTTGAATTATAAATTTCATTGTTCTTTCCTATTTTTTAATATATATATATATATATATATATATATATTAAGAAATGGACAAAGTCCGACAATTTATTTATTAAAGACATTTTTATGTTTAACGTTCTTTTTATAGATACAAATATTTAAATAAATGCTCTGTTTATAATAAACAGTATTAAATAACATTTACCGGCCTGAATGTCGAAATTTTCATAGAAAATATTCGTCCTTTGACAGGATTCGATTCAGGCTGGTAAATGTTATTTAATACTATTTATTATAAATCTATAAAAAGAACGTTATAAAATGTCTTTTAATAAATAAATTGTCGGACTTTTGTCCATTTCTTTAATATATGACGTCATTTGTTTACATTTGATATGCCAGAGCAGTTATGAATGTACGAGATTCATGGAAGATTGAAACAGGAGCGTTCGGTAGACAAGGTCGAATTTACTGCTTTACTGCTTGTCTACCGAACGCTCCTTTGTGGCCGGTCGGTAAGGCACGTCAGCGTAAATGACGCTTCCGTATAGGATGCAGGTTCGAATCCTGTCAAAGGACGAATATTTTCTATGAAAATTTCTCGGACATTCAGGCCGGTAAATGTTATTTAATACTGTTTATTATAAACAGAGCATTTACTTAAATACTTGTATCTATAAAAAAGAACGTTAAACATAAAAATGTCTTTAATATATATATATATATATATATATAGCTAATATTAGTGGTAAATATCTCTAACATTCGTCCCACACTTTCATACTTACACTCTCTCTAAATTCTGTTTTTATTTCCGGAGTTGTTTTTTCTGTTTTCTTTTTGAATTTGTCGGTCTGATGAATTGGATCGTATTTACGATTCCAATGGAATAAATTATGACCATGGAATATTAGTGTTTAAGCCTTTTTATATATATATATATATATATATATATATATATATATATATATATATATTCCACAAATTTGTTTAAAGAACCAAAATCTATTTTGTTAGTGGTTTTCTGTTTTCGTACCATTTTTAAAGCAAACCAGGAAATGACCTGAAATATAGAAATAGATGAAAACTCCTTAATAAAAACTAAAGAAAAGTTCTCGGTTCGGCATACTGAAAAAATGCTCACATCTCAGATTTTTAAAAAAATGAGCCTTTTGGTCCGGCTGAGAACCTATCGGCACTCAGATCGTACAACAGATTCTAACAATGTCGACGCTAAAATGCAACTATGATTATTGTTGCATTTTTCTTTTCACCTTGCTATCAGAATTTTCGCTGTCACGAAATGGATGCCATAGTTGGGCTGAATAAAAAAGTCAAAGTACTTGTTTAATAAACGCTGTCAATAATGTAATATATTAGTAAGATCTCGTATTAAAATGTCTGAAGCAACGCTATATAAAAATCATTTGCTATGGCTGTCTGCAATTGCCTTTGGCATTTTCTTTGCTACTGTATAGGTAATCATTAGAGTGAATGAAATATTCAACGCATTTACACTTCATACACACACACACACATACGCACACACACACACACACACATATATATATATATATATATATATATAATAAATAAATCATAATAAGCCAGGAACTACCTACCTAGGTTTCACCACATGGGATCATCAGGGTGATTTTTACTTTTTTAATTTTACTTTTGCTCTACTTAGTGTATTGAGTACGCTACGTTTTAACTTATTACTCGCTGGAGGCCTTTTTCTTTGTACCAGAGATTTAAGGTTTCTTTCACCCTGTTTGGAGGTGTCTTGTGCTTTCTTTTTTTCCCCATTTTTCCTCGGATATCAGTTTATTTGAAAATTGTTGCTATCCAAGTTTCTTTTTTCATTTATATATATATATATACATATATATATATATATATATATATATATATATATATATATATATAATGTAAATCTGTTTAAACTCGGTGGGTGAAAACAAAACTGAAAAAATATATATATATAAATTTTAAACAGTATAGTCTTGGTTACACAAAGTGTATATATATATATATAAATGTTTTCCAATATATTTTTGGTTACACAAAGTGTTAACATTCAAATAATCTCTAATGCAATGTTATATTAAATCATTTTCAATGAATTTCTATGTATGCTTTTAGTATTTGATATGCCACTATATTATTAGAATAAATGAATGTTCTGGCGTATTTGTTTAATAAATCCTAGCAATGAAAGCCCAGTTTAGATAAACAATGGCTTTTACTAATAAAACACTTTCAGGATAGTGTTTATTTGTTCTCGAGGTTAATGGATCCAAAATCAGGTTTTGAAACGTTTGAGATGGCGGTCTTTTGATTGAATTGTAAATGAATGACACCAACCATCCAATACAGTCAAAGTCATCTCGTCATGAGATCTAAAAATAACAAATGATAAAAAAGAAGAAAGAAAAGATCTTGATTTATCTTATTAATCAAAGTAATGTTATTGCAAGCATGTGAGGCTGGAGCAACGGTTATATTCACAGAGAAAGAAATCGGCAACGCGAGATCAAATTTCGGATACAACAATTTGCGTTTAGCTCTCACTTGGGGAAGACATGGATATATCTCTTCTCCTGCACACTGTTTTGGATTAAATAGCAGAGATGACTGATTTTTCTAGAATTCATTGGTAACCAAATTAGAAGAATGGCAGCTTTGAATACAAAACTGTAAAGGCAACGAGAAATTACTCCACCGTCTTTTTCAAGTGTAGGACATTGTGTATTTACAGTTAGCAAAAGAGATAGTGCAAGATACAAACTACAAAATGGAGACGTCAAAATAAAACCTAGTAAAGTATTTTAACAGACGATGAAAAAATGTGACACAGAAATCCGAAGTAGTATTAGAGTAGCAAAAGGTACGTTCTAAAAGCTAAGCAAAGTATTAAGAAGCAGGAAAATTTCGTTATAAACAAAAGAGTGCTCAAATGCTATATATCTCTATATATGGCAGGATATTTGTTCACAAATGAAGAGGAGGCTCGAGGCACTGTTGTCTCAGGTTACCTCTTCATCTGTGATTTTAAATTGTATCTGGTTCTACAGAAGGATGCTGAGAATACTATATACATTGGATTAGAGCAACGTTTAAGGAAAATGCGAAAAAAACGCATACTTGTACTATAATCAGAAAAAAAAAGACATATATTGAGGAAAGGGGGTTTAGCGTATTTGGCACTCACAGGATATACTAAAGGACAATAGAGTAACATAATGATCTACCTTACGAGCTTAAGTAAATTGACGTCCGGAAGCAGTGTAAGGGGACAAAATTTGCTTAGAACTACGAAGAATAAGAAGTTGTGGAGAGACATGATCACCCACATTATAAAATGACACGACACACAGAAGAGCTTTCTCAAGAACAATCATTACAATGCACTGTTTATAGATATTAAAAGAAGGAAGCTGTAGAGAGCCATGATCGCTTATATGCTGAATGAACATGGCATAAAAATATTACGATTATTTAACGAAATCGTATATGTAAAGCAATAACAAATATGGAGCCTATAGACCGGGAAAAATAAAATGTAACTCTAGAGTTGGTCACTTAACAGCTATAGGTTCATGTAGCTTAAGTGGTACAGTTGCTGATACGGATAAATAGGCTTCTTGAGGAAAATTTATACTAGTTTAAATATTACCAAAAACTTATTCTTTATTTCCAATTCGCACAGTTACTAAGGATGGTTGCAGACTGAAAGTTAATATCCAAATATTTGCAACAAAACGAAACTAAAATTATGATGGAAGAAATACTAGTAAAAAAGAATAATGTCTAAAAGTTCTAACGTATTTACCGTGCCATAGAGCTGCTCGTTGATTTGATGTGGATGTAGAGGAGGTCCTAAAACAGGGGCAATGTCCTTGTCACTTGTACCAGTGCATCGACTCACGTTTCCTGGAGACATGTCTTTGCAACAGCTTTTAGGCACGTACATTCTTCCATCTGAAAAGAAATAAAAATGGAGTGAATAATTTACAAAAATAACGATGATGTTGATGACAATATCAACATTACCACCAAAACGAGGAGGAGGAGGAGGAAGAGTAGCAATAATAAAAAGATACTTCTGAAAATACCAGAAGTATCTTTCTCAGAAGGTGTAAAAACATATATGGATGGGTAAGAATGGTGATCCACTTGGAATTGGGATTTAATCATGCATAAACAAGAAGCGGTTTCCTACCCCCCCAAAAAAAAACAAATGCAAAAAGAAATTTTTACAGGAATTTCTGTCTGGAAATCTGGTATAATGAGTTATCATTATTTGCATTATTTATATAATTTACAGTCGGACAAATAAGCTGGCAAAACGAACAATAACTGAACAATAATAAAAAGCGAACACGATGAGATATTTCTAGACATGGTCAGCGGAAGGAGAACAATCTACCCCACTTCACGAAGATTAAATGAAGTGTTCAGTTCAGAAATTCAAGGTTATCCGGATTGACAGACCGGGTAATCTTCAATATGGCGAGAGGGCACAACAGCTGAAATGCTACAACAATAACAACAAAGGTAAATACGTTATCTTGACTGTAATTAATGTGGGAATATGAAAAATGAATCCTGGCTAGACAACCGGATTAAACTATGGTAAAAAAAAAAAGATCTGTGAGATAGTGAAGGCTACTGTTTAAGCAGAGCAAAGGTTAAAATTGGAAGGAAAATGTGAAGCGATAAACACTGTCAGAGACTCAAAATATTACAGAACATGAAATTAATAGCTCTACATGTCATTATCAACGAGTTGGAAGCAGGCCTCAAAGAGCCCTTTAAAAAGTATTGACTCCGAAGAAAAAGATTTACGATAACAGTTGGAATAGTTGTTACTTGACCTCGGCAGAAAGTTACCAAATTCTGTACAATAAAAATCTACCGACTACAAAACCAAAAAAAAAACCTAAACCTAAAAACCAGATTCATGCTCTTAAATATCCCCCGTCAGATTGAGACTTTTATATACGTATCATGCATGGTGCCAGTTCCATTCAGAGACATGTAAACTACCAGATCAAAGATTAAAAATGGCTTCGATTGAATGAAATGTGTAGGCCTATACAAAAGCCACTTTTCTTTGAGACTTGTGGACTGACGTCACAGAATCTCAATGAACTGCACCAAATAACAGAAACCACATTAGTTGAGGACTTTCAATAACTATAACAACTAAAATGGATATCACATGTAAATCGAAGAAGAAAGTAACAGTATTATCAATATGTCGATATTCCACACCACTTCAAACAAAATGTTAGGAAGTAAATCCTCGTCAACACAAGAGCGAGCCATAACAGTAGACTTAAGGAACCTACTTTCCCGATAAAACCTGTTTTAAGAGATTGACTTGATAAATTTCAACTGAGAGACCAGGTAATCTTTAATATGGCGGGAGGACTCAACAGCTGAGATGTAACAATAACAGCAAAGATAAATACATTAGCTTGATTGTAATTAATGTGGGAATTTGAAAAATAAATTATCCAACCCACGCTAAGCAACCGGATCTAACCATGGTAAAAAAAAAAGATCTGCTGCTCTGTCAATCAATTTCGAATGATTTTTTTTTATAAGGAAACGGCTAATATTACCATTATCATGGACACCATATAAAATGCAATAAACGTTCATATATACATATTTTCATGTGTAACAGTTCAGATAAGGCACTGATACTAAACTCTGTAGGAGATTATAATATAAAGCAGAATAGTAAAAAAAAAAACTATATTTGTCGAACTTAAAACATAGATTGTTTGAAATAGACGATACATAAAATACAGAGAGACAAATTTACATACTTTGCGAATAAGTCTGCTTAAAATTATAGAATATTGGAAGGCCCTATGATATATCAGAATCCATGGCTTCTGACTTCAAAGATTTAAACTTCTGTATAAAATTCATATATACCTTTTCGTAAGTGAATGTAATGGATTCAAACTCGACTCTCCGATTCCTCAATCCGAGCCGCTATCCATTACTCCACCATGCCACTTCGGAGAGCCGAGTTCGAATTCCATTCGAATCCATTACATTCACTTACGTGTTAATACCCTTGGGAAAGGTATGAATCCTGTTCTTGTCCCCTTATCTATGGGTAAATAGCAGGACAGACCGGATTCTATGACCTTGGATGGCAACTGGTCTACCGCAGAAAGAAATGGCAGCCTCCCGTGGGAAAAAAAAACTGCCTTGTCAGTCATGTATCGAAAGATACATGATCGCCTAAGCGTGTATCACGTATGGCACATAACTGGCTGATATCTAATACGTTATCGGAAAATAAACACAGAATCAGAAGCAGAGGAAGAAGTAAATTATTTTGTACTGATAAATCATTCAACAAGAAGCAAAAACATGGAGGAAAAATCTGTCGATAGCGTAGACTACAAAATGAAACTTATATAATGAATCCATAATGTTTGAATCTATTCATAATTGTAGAACACGTTAAATTTATATACAGTGCAATGAAAAAATGAAAGGTATAAAAAAATACTTCAAAGAGAAAATAGTGGCCTAAGAAAAGTTTTTAGCCAGGAGAAATAAACTTCATCCAATTTCAAAATTTAATTACGTAATCCCAACTCAACATTAATAAACAATATTGGAACTAGTATGGAGTAGGTCCTCCATTTGCTACTTTCAGTGATTGTATTCGATTTTTCATGGATTTGATCAAGTTATTAACAATCGTCTGAGCCATATTTTGCCATTCATTTAGCAATGTTTCTTTAAGGGTTACCACTGACGTGGTTTTGGTTGCACGCTCTCAAACTTTTTGGTTAAGGTGATCCCAAACTTGCTCTATTGGATTCATGTCAGGATTTAGGCTATCCACGCCATGGATTTGATACCTTGTGATTCCTTCCAGGCCTTTGCTACTTTGCTCGTATGATATGGTGCTCCATTTTCTTGAAAAAGGTAGACATTCTTGTCAATCTCATTGGTTTCAAATTGTAGGTGTCGTCCTTTCTCTAATATTTGCCAGTATTTTGAACCATTCAACCGCTCGTCAACAAGAATCAGCTCAGATTTCCCTCCAAACCAGACAGCGTTCCACAACATTACCCAATCCCCCCATCTTTCACGGTCACCTACAGGCATTCAGCGTTCCAAGTCTCATTCTGATTTCTTCAAACATAAACCTGTCTCGAATTCAAATTCGAATTTACTTTCATCTAACAAAAATACAAACTGACAAAATTCATAATCTTTGCTCTCAAATTCTCTCGCCCAGTAAATACGAAGGTTCCTGCTAAATTCTGAAATCAAGGGCTTCTTTCTTGCAACTCTTCTTTGATAGTCTAGCTCTTTCAGAGTCTTTCTCACCACATATGGCGACATTTCCATGCTGTTGGTGACATCTTTGACACTCTGACGACTTCCTTATTCAGCGCCATTTTCGTTCGCTCAGACACGATGCAATTTCTCTGACTTATACTGATGCCATCCTATTATTTGCCCTCGTTGAAATTCACCAATTTCCTTACTTCCGCGAACTTTCATTGCAAAATAGAAGTCAACTAGTAGTTCGATACTAACACGGTATTGTCTGAAAAAAAAGAAGTGACGTTATAAAACGAGTTAAAATTGCTGTAATCGAGGGTGGCTAAAAACTTATAGCCCACTGTATCCAGCCAAGACCAAAATAAAAAAGGCACTTGAAAAGAGTTGAAATGGAAAGGATAGATTCAATGATTCATTAGAAAAAAACTTATTAATCTAGTATGCATGGACGATCTGAAATCATTCATAAAAAAAAAACTAAGTCTGAATAAGTAACGCAGAATCAAACAGATTTAACATTAGAAACGAAAACAAAAGTGTGCAAAGGAAAACATGTATCAGCAGAAGGAATTTAACTGCAGAACAGTGAAATCATGAGAACGTCGAATAGAGAACTGACCGTAACAAATATCTTGAAATGTGGGGAAGGGATCCAATAAAATATGAAGAAATTACAAATAAAGAATATTGCAGCAAAACATGTTCTTCGAGACGAGATGAAGCTGAATAAACGCTTTGCATAATAATTCTTTCGAATCAGGTTCTTCACAATAAAAGCAAAAACAGTGGCCCGAAAAATTCATTGTATAGCAAGAACAGTATACTTAAAAATCGAGATAGAAATTGGGCAAAAATCTTATCAAAAGCTTGAAAACATGGACATTGTTAAGTATACTGGACCCTTCCTATACTGGTCAAGAGAAAGTTTTAAACCACTGGATTGAAGAATTAGGAACTAAATACTTAAATCCTGATACTGAGAGATTTAACACAAAAAGAAAAAGGAGAAAGAAAGAAGAAGAATCGTAATTGACACTTGGGTATTAAAAACATAAAAATGGTACAATAGACCATGCCAGCCAGAAAGGGAAACAAAACTGAAAAATGTACATATTTTAATTCAGAAAACTAAGAAATCTGAAAATAGGAGTAAAAAAAACAAAAAAAAAAAACACTATCGGGAATTGCAGAAGCGAAATGTCCTGGGTATCATTGCACGAAGGACACTTGAAAAGAGAAACGGAATCATTACGAATAGTAGCCCAGAACAAGTGCATTAGAAAGAACAACATCAAAAAGAAAACACAACAAAATGACAGCTGCTAACAGTGCAGAGACAGACATACAAACACATTATATAAGTGTATACAGTAAACTATCTCATATAAGAATATAAAGATAGACACGACTGGGTAGGTACCGTTGACTCTGTAGGAATTGTGCAAACAACAGGGAACATGCAGAAAAATGCTATCAGTTACAACGGAAATCACAAGTTAATACTGGTGTGAAAACTGAATAATAATAGTTGCTTCAATTATATCAAAATAATAATAATTATAATAATAATAACAGGACAATATTCCTAGAAAAAGTAGCAATGAAAATAACAGAATCGAAACAGTAATTTTAATTATATTCATAGACGC